AAAAGCAAACTGTCCAGCCCATTCATTTTCAGAGAATTGTTCTAGAGGGAACCTTGAAAGGTCAGTCACGCCATAGCTGATGGGCCCTTGCTTTGTGACCATTGCAGCTGGTGTCATGCCAAAACTCAAGTTCAAATGCTGGTCAGGGATATGGCAAAGATCCAAGCTACAATGCGGATGCGACTTTCAGTCATTGCTATGACTCAGTGATGGAGTTCAACCTACACACTGTCTGTACTCTCAACTGAGAGGCAGCGTTAATCAGAAATATAGCACTCCATAGTGTATCTCTTCAGCATCATTTGAGGGGTGCCAAAAAGTCCAATACACAAATATAGGTTTCCCACGGTTGTCTGATTGCCATTTTTTTGTTGTTGTTAAAGTTTGTACTGCCGAGTCTGTGGTACTTTAAAACACAAATATCACTGAGGGTAATGCATTAAGTCACAAGCCAACTTCTGCCCCTTCCTTTCATTTGAAACAAGTGTACATTTCATCCAGCGATAAACCACCTGATATTAACTTTCAGAAGTCTAAATAACACCAACTAATAACTGGGTTAAATTCCAGAAAATTCTTTGAATGGAACTCGAAGGTGTATTTTATGGAAATCTTAATTACCCCTAACTGTGCTAATATTGGGAACTCATGGCAGAGGCTTTTCCCAGACCACACCTTTCCCTATTTTAGAATGACCCCCTCACATGCAGTTGGACCTAGCAGGATGCTTGCACTTCAGATACCGCACTCCACTGCACAGCCAGCTGAACCCATGACAGATAAATGCAGCTGACCGTGGCTATCCAGCGTTTAAAGTGCGTGCAGAGTTCCATAAGGTGTGGCAGTAGGCCATCTGTATCAGACTGACCAGAAGTAATTGAAAACAAAACAAAACAAAACAAACAAAAAAGCTCCTAGGCTCAGACCTGACCTCAGAATCACAATTTCTAAAGGATAGAGATTTTTCCACCTACTCCGAGATAATGCACACTGTGAGAATCGCTGCTTACTGATCTAAGGGTTAAGGACTTTTGCTAGGTTTGGATGGCAGTATCAATATATGTGTGTGTCAAGGGATGGGAAGGTCTTGGGAAAGGCAAAAATGCAAAGTGGATGAAGGGTTTTGCTCCCATTGCTATCTCCTGGATCCCTCGGGACCATTTTTCCTGCTACCACAGAGCTTGATTATTTTGAAATTCAAAGTCTGAGCAAAAAGTGTTGAATTCATCAGTGGAAGGATTTTAGGCTTCCCTAGGAGCCAATATTGGTTATATAAATTTCCAATCCCAATCAGAATCATAAAAATCAGTTTTGATAAATCCTAACCAAAAAAAAAAAAAAAATGATTTCCTAAATCAGAACATTCCATTCTGCACAAGGACTTCATGCACACTTTCTTGAGTAGAATTTTCTATAATAATAAAAGGGTAATATGCTAATTAGACCAGACATCTTCTGGATGTTTTTCCTGATGAAGCCAAGGCTGGAGGGAAGCCATCCTGGGTCCCAGGTGCCAGAGGGAAGTGGGTGCCGGCAGCTGGGGGAAGGAAGGCCTACTCTTGCACGAATTTTCGTTCATTGGGCCTCTAGTACAGTGGTCGGCAAACTCATTAGTCAACAGAGCCAAATATCAACAGTACAATGATTGAAATTTCTTTTGAGAGCCAAATTTTTTAAACTTAAACTATATAGGTAAGTACATTGTTATTATCTTAATTAGGGTACTCCTAAGGCTTAGGAAGAGCCACACTCAAGGGGCCAAAGAGTCGCATGTGGCTCGCAAGCCAAAGTTTGCTGACCACGGCTCTAGTATAATCATGTTTTTCTTCTTTTTCACAACCACAGGGATATTTCCAATATGCTATCATTTGCACAGACAGAACAAGTCCATTCCTAAACAGTGAGAAATCTTTGAAGTCATGCTTTATCTGTTCTTCTGGTCATTAAATTTGACAGACTATTAATCCCCTATTTACCATTAAGCTGTGGATAACAAGATAGTATTATGCATTTCTGGAACACAGACGGCAGTTGGGCAAATAATAGCACTGCCATTCTAAGAAACTATTACTATCACTGAAGACTGGAAGATTATCAAGGAGAGTTGTTTGTTCTCTTTACATGTGGACTTAGCACATATTACCCCAAACACCTACAAATAAAAACTAGGACAGTTCATCGTTGTAAACATCTTGATTAATGATGAGAGCTCAGACAGTGTGGCTCAGTGGTTGAGCATCGACCTATGAAGCAGGATGTCATGATTGGATTCCCAGTCAGGGCACATGCCCAGGTTGTGGCCTCGATCCCCAGTGTGGAGGGTACAGGAAGCAGCTGATCAATGATTCTCTCTCATCATTGATGTGTTTATCTCTCTCCCTCTCCTTTCCACTCTGAAATCAATAAAAATATATTTAAAAAATAATAATAATTATAAGGAAGGCCAGAAATAAATGGTCAGGGTTGAACAGGAGATACCACCTTTCTTTTGCAGAGTATTTTCTCAGCAGTATAAGGCATGGGAAATTTGGGAGACCATCATCTAAATGCAATAGTACTATCCAATAACACAACCAAGTGCAAAAACTCATCCTTTAATTTTAAAAATTGTATGTTGTAGGGTTTTTCTATTAATGAGCAAATTATATTTTTAGAAATCATGGAAAATATGTAGACGCTGATGTCACTATACTTTGGTTTTGCTAAGGATGCCTATTGTGAGCAAAGTTGTTTCTTCCCTTGGCTCTGGGCCACCAGACTACTGCTCACCGACTCCCTCCCTCCCTGACACACAAACATTCCAGATTATAAGGAAAGCATGTTTCTAAAGATTTAAATTCTACTGACTAAATTAGCTTCCTCACTATGTAAGCTCAAAGTCTTCTATATCTTTCCTACATGGCTTCTTTTATGAGTATAATGAAAAAGTGTCTATCACTAGTAATTTCACATTGTGTACTCTGTTTGACATAAGCTCCATGAGAGTGAGAATCATCCTTGTTTTTGTTGTGTGTGTGTGTGTGTGTGTGTGTGTGTGTGTAATGAATGCTTACCTCCCAATTAGCCTTGTATCTATTGTCACTGGATACTTTTGTCTGAAAGAATGTGTGGTGGCCTTTTATTATTTGCTCACTAATTAAAAGATCTATGGCAGCCAGGGCCTTTACTTTCTCTTCAATGCACAAAATACACAAATTTAACTTCACTCCTAGAGAGTCCATGTTAAGCTTGTTAGGATATAGTAAACTAACTCTCAGCCTTCATCATCCACATCTCAGTAATCTCAAGCAATCCCAAAACTTTTGTGTTTTCTTGTTTGTTTGTTTACTTGTTTTACACTATTCATTTCTTTTGACTAAGCTAATTATCTCTCGCCTTAATGCCAATGTTGCAATTTTTCCAGCGCTTAATCTGGCACTTCCAGGAATGCTTACACATACTCTTAGGGCCATTACAGAAAGGCCAAGGCAGAGTATATGGAATGGGGGCTGTACTTCCAATTTTAATTAGAATTTCAAATACTGATATTCTATTATGCTGTTTTCCTAGTTTGTCAATAGCCACATAATAACCTCATAAAAGAGTTTAATAAAGCTGTCCTTTCTGTCTTTTAACAGAAGCTTTGATTTCTGTCAAGCCATGTGTAGTTCCATCAAGCCATTATATAAAGAACATAGATTACACCCTGGAATATTCTTTAGTTGAAGACAAACGAATAAACCATGCTGCTGGACACTTGGTTTGAATTAAATGATGCATCCAGACATTTCAGTGAGATTATACCATAAGAAGAAGACAGCCAGAAATAATAAATCTTCCTTTGGTAACTACCTAAAATTTCTTAGTATGCTACCAAACATATACTTAAAAGTCTATCAAAGACCATATGAAAGTTAGTAAGTCCATGGACATATTTTTTTAACTTTTAGTATAAATTGTATTTGGGGGAAATACTTTAAAAATAATTTTACACTTTCTGCCAATAAAATCAAAATCATTATCCTCCAGTAACTTCGAAGAAGTGAAAATAAAGGAGAAATAGAAACATAAAAAGTATTTCAAAAAAGGTAAGACATAAGAATTAGAGAAATGAGATACAATAAGGAAAATGACTGAATAAGAAACATACTACTACATTACATGACTGAGGAAAAACATAAACAGAAAGTATAATCACAATTTTATGGAAATAGCAAATCTTCAAAATTTTGGCATAAGAATAAAGTTATGGAGTATTTTAATGAGAAACTCCATAAAATAGACTGTATGCATATTTTAGCTTAAAGATCCAAGGACAAATAGCAATTGATTTCTCTGCTTTATGAAATTTTCAAGCCAAAAAGTGATGATTCCAGGATTTCCAGAGCCTTGAAATGAGCACAGGACAGAGAGAAGAAAAAAATCTTGCCTTTATTCTCTGAGGTTTATGGAATCTCATTGTCCAAAGAGAAGCACACATTCTCTTCTCCCACTGGCAGGATATCCTGCACAGGGGCACGCATGCCCACACACAAAAACTGTGGTAAAAACAAAACAAAACAAATTTGTTATTTTCTAGTCCATTCTAGTTGTAGAAAGATTTTTTTAGTTCTTTAAACCAGCAATTTTCAACCCTTTTCATCTCATGGCACACATAAATTGATTACTAAAATTCTGCAGCACACCAAAAAATATATTTTTTGCCAATCTGACAAAAAGTAGGTATAATTTTGATTTATTCACGCCAGACAGCTATTTTGTTTTGGCTGTTGTCATTTATTTTTATATTTGACAATCTAAGGGAAAAGGCGTAAGTGCCCCTGACTCAATAGTCAGGTATTGCATGTTTTACAAATTCGTGCAGCACACCAGTGTGCTGTGACACAACAGCAGAAAAATCACTGCTTTAAGGATAGGGAAAAGTCTTCTCTTCTATTGTGTCTCCTGAGCATTTGACATAAAGCAGGTAATTATCAGTCTCTCTCTGGTCCTTGTTTCCAAGATGACCAAAAAAAGAAGGAATGACAGTCGTTCCAAAAAAGACAGGCCATGTGCAGCCTATTAGTTGCACCAACTGTGCCTGGTGCGTGCCCAAGGACAAGGCCATTAAGAAGTTTGTCATTCAAAACATAGCAGAGGCTGCAGCCGTAGGGACATCTCCGAAGCGAGTGTCTGATGCCTATGTGCTTCCCAAGCTGTGTGTGAAACTACATTACTGTGTGAGCTGTGCCATTCACAGCAAGGTAGTCAGGAATCGTTCTCATGAAGCCTGGAAGGACCGAACACCCCCTACCCCGATTTAGACCTGAGGGTGCTGCCCCACCACCTCCACCAAAGCCCATGTAAAAAGCTAAAGCTTTAAGGAGAGAAGAAAAGTTCTCTTGGGGGAAAATAAATGGAAATTGTACTTCAAAAAACAAAAAAAGAAGGTAATTATCATGTGTTTATTGGGTAGAATTAAATAATCAAATTCAAATCAAATAAACTTTCTCTATGACATCACATTATTTACTAGAAGCCCAGCGCACGAAATTTGTGCATGGGTAGGGTGCTTAAGCCTGGCTGGCAATCAGATGGGGGGGGGGGGGGGGCACTGGCACCCGCTTTGGCTGGCCTGGGGCCTGCGGGCTAGGGACAGCTCTTGCATTGAGCATCTGCATCCTCATGGTCAGTGCGTGTCATAGTGACCAGTCGTTCCTCCATTTGGTCGATTTGCATATTAGGTTCTTATTATATAAGATTCCCTCACAATTTGAGGAATCTGAAGCCAGCCTTTCTCCAACAACCAAGCTCAAATATAGCTACTCTAGAAAGAATTCAGTTTATACTTTTCCCTTCAGAACTCAAAAGTCAAGATAATTTCTACTTTAAAATATCCATATTCCATTTTGGTAGTCAAAATTGTATCAATTTTGATAATCCATGGAGGTGGACTTGAGTTCTAAGTAAACCCAGAACCCTCAGTGAGTTGGTATTACCTTTTTTCACATTATTTGGAGAATGAAGTTGGTATTTTAACATCCAACATGTGCAGAGATCCCAATGGTCCATTGTTAATACGTTATCTTGGTTAATGTTCAGTAAACATCTTGAAAAGTCTATATTATTTTTCTTTGTTTTTACATAAACAAACTGAAGTTCAGTATGTTTAAGTATGGAAGAGTCTGTCTTGGTATTGGCAAAGTTTTACCTAAAACTCATTTTTCAGACTCCTGTTCTGATACAGAAAGCCATACAATGATATTTCTGAACAATAAGATGTAAATGAATTTACTGTGAAGAATTTCTAGAAAAGCAACTTAAATAGAAAATGGACTCATATGATGCCACATGTATCCTTTTTTCCATCTTTCTCCCAGAAATGCAGGTATATAGGCCAGAGCTGCAACACATCTTGAGCAAACTTTGAGAGAAAAGACAATAAAATCAGCCCTATTCTCCTTGAGACATCAGGCTGCCTACTTCTGAATTTCTTGTTTTGAGAGGACCACTGTTGCTTTAACCACTGTTCTTAGGATGGCCCAATGCATGCAGCTGATCCCTGTCCTTAACTTTTATATCCAATGACAAACCAAAAGGTCCCCTAGCTATAAAATAATGTAACTTCTTCTAATCCCATATGCAAAATGAATCCTAAGAAAAGAAATCGTCCATGTTAAGGAAATTAGCCTAAGTAATATTTAAGGGTTTGTATACAGGACTAGAATTATTCCTTAGGCTCAATGCAAAAATATTCTTTACTGCATCCTTGTTGATAGTGTTATTTATGCGTTCACCAGGTATTATCAAGAGCTTCCTGTCAACAGCGTGTTGTCTAGAGACCAAGGACTGAAAAAGTGGCTGCTACCAAGGGGTTTACAGTCCAATTTGATGGATATTTCAAAAAATAAGTGAAGAATGAGTATAATGGTGATAAATGATACAAAAGTAATGTGTTATCACAGCACATAACAGAGAGATCTATTCCAGTCTATAGGGTCAGTAAAGGCTTTAGAAATGTTGAAAAAGTAAACTGAAGCATATTAAAAATTTCAAGAGTTTATTTGAGCACACGTCAATTCATTTGGGCAGTACCAAACCAAAAGTGGTCAGAAGCACTCTGCCCACAAGAGCTGGGGAAAAAGTTTTTCTAGAAAAGGTGAAGAAACAGAGCAAGGAAGTTATTTGATTGACTATAGCTTAAGTAGTTGCTTTATTTGTGAAAGGCTTTTTGGCTGATTATAATTGGTTGTTCTTAGGTTTTGATTTCTTAACCTTGAGTCATTTGCAGGAATTTACAGTGGCTTAGGTTTTAGTTTGCTTACTTAGGTGCTAAGGCATCAAAGCCACCTCATTCTAACACCCTCCTTGTTTAATTACTTTAACAGTGAGAATGTGACATTTGTACTTACTTCTGAAACATAAGTGTGAATTAGCCAGTCAACCAAGGGGAGCAAGGATTCAGGCATAAAAACAGCACGTGTAAAGGTCCTGAGGTTTAAGGAAGGTTGGGAGAAGTGGTTCTCAATTAAGCTGGAGAAGTAGGCCTATCATGTGGGTTCTTTTAAGCTTTTCTAAGATCTGAGACTTTATCACAAAGCATTGTAAACTGTGGAAGACTTGTAAATGGGAGAGGGACATAACCAAGTGGCTTTGGGGAATAAAAAGAAAAATACTGTAACTGAAGTATTTTTTTTTAAATAGTGTGGAGTAAGAAAAGAGGAAGCAGGACTATTAGTTAAGAAGTTATAATTGCAATAGTTCAGGTAAAAGATGGTGATAAATTAAATATAATGGCACTAGAGGAATTGGAAAGAAGTAGGCTATTGATAACTATTTAAGAGGTAGTTATCCCTGGATGTAATGGCTAACTGGATAGCAGAGGGGTAAGAATGAAGAGAAGAGTAGTTTCCTAGTTTCTGGCATGAACAACTGAGTGGATATGTCATAAAACACCAAGAAAGAGTGTGCAGAAGGAAAGATTTGTAAGGAAAGAGCATTAATCCAGTTTGTTGAGTTTGAGATATGTATACCACAGTCAAATGAAGATGCTGAGTAGGCAATTGAATACAAAGAACTAAACTCCAGAGAAGTCTGGGATGGTGTTCTAGTCGTGGGTGTGTCCATCATATAAAAGGCAACTTTATATATGTTTATTGCTATAATTCCTCTTCTTTGATCTCTATATTAGATGCTCTTTTTACCACCAGTAAGTAGTTTTATGCTGAGAAGTAGGTAGATCATTGTATATTCATCTCTCCACTTCCCTTGCTCAAATCCCTCTCTGGACAATCCCAAATGAGTTAGTAAAAAAGCTGACTTTCTCAGAAAGTGCCTTCATCATTAAACATTTTGCCTGTACTCTATAGTATATTAAAATATTAGAAGAAAAATAATACCAATGATGTACCAAGCACATAAGTGTTCAAGACACTATTGCTTTTTCATATATGCAGAGGTGGGCAAAAGTAGGCTTTCAGTTCTGAGTATGCAAAACAGAACTTATTCTTGTATTTTTATTTGCTAATTAATGTATTTATTATTATAATTTACCTACTTTTGCCCACCCCTGTATAATTTCTAATCATCTCAACAATTCTATAAAAAAGTGTTTTCAACACAATTTTGTCAGTGAAAGGAAAGAGATTCGGGGAGCCCATACTGATCAAGGTGTTCCTATGGCAAGTGGGAGGCTTGCCTTCAATCCTGAGTCTCTCAGACTCCCACTGTTTCCCTAAGGGTCCCGCTGAGGAGCTGATGAAAAATGCTTCATGGTAGTGATGGAAACAAGTACCAGCTCCTCCTAAATTAGCCCAAAATACTACAGGCAAATATTTCAGAAGTGTTTCAGAGAGTGCTGAGCTCCTTTCCCGAAGAAAGCCATATTTAAAGATAAGATATGGGTGATGTTCAGCTTGCAGCCACAGGACCAGATTTTATACCTATTCCCTCTGTTTACTTTTATGAGGGAGATGAACAATAGAGGGTTCCATTTCATCACTTTATAAACTAACATACCAAAATAGATCTAAAGGTGTATTTTTTTTTGAAAGATCTCAGTAGGATGTTAATTTAAGGTAGTGGTGATGAATGGTAATTTAATCTCTACAGAAATAGAAAAATGCTCTGTGCATAGAGGGATAGCCAGGTCCTGATTCAGTGCTTACTGCTTCCAAGAATGTGCCACATTAATGAGGCTGGTGGGTGAAATGGGGGAGAAACATTCCTTAGATCCTCATTTTAACTTTCCTCTGTCTTTTTCCCAATCATTTTGCTTCTTGAATGAGGGCGGCGGGGAGGTGAGAGACAAGGTCTTACTCTTCAGGTTTTGTTCATTTTTCATAAGTGATATGGCTTAAGATGAATGTAGTCTAGTCTTATTAAATTATTTCCTTAAGCCTAGAAGCAAATTAATGATGTAAACTATATATTCTAAAAAGTATTCTAAATAGTGTAGAGTACAAATGGATATCCTCACACATATCCATTTTCAAATATATTTCTTGCAAATTATTGTATCTGATAAAATAGGTCTTCAATATGATTATTTGAATTTTTTTCTTTTAAATATTTAAAATATAATTTCTTTAAAGATATAAAATCCACTTGTCTTCCCAGTATAAAAATAATAAATTTTAAAAATACCTACAGTTTTAAAATTGTGCTATATTTATCTCTAGGGTCTTTTCATCTCATGACTATTATCATAAGAAATGTATATGATTTGTGTTTTAGTAGCCTCGCTTGAGAGCCCACTTTGAGTGATTTTTTTGCTTGTCAAAACAAAAACAAAAAAACAACCCACTTCCATGCTTACCAACTTAGTCTAAGTCATAATACGAATTAGCATTGGAGGCTTTTGTAAGTTCAACATGCTTCATGGTAAATTCACAATATATAAACTTGAAATTAGACAAACAGCTTGGTCAGTGCCTAGAGCACTAAAGCCCTGATTCCAAGAGGTTTCCTAGAAATGCTGCAAACCTCCACTCTATTTTCTTCCTAAGAGTCTACCCTAAGCCTCCAGAATAATGATTCTCCTTCCCTTTCATCATAAGTGAATTATTGGTGGACTGGACTCTGGAACCATTCAGGGAAGCAGAGTCTGGGAAATGTAGTTCTAAGTAGTTAACAGCTGACTATCTAGCATTTTATCTTTTTTTTAACTTTTTTTCTTTATTGATTAAGGTATTATAAATGTGTCCTTATTCCCCCATTTCCACCCCCCTCCTCACCGAGTCCCTCCCTGACCCTTATTTTATAAAGAAGTTGAAAAGCCTGCATACTTTTAATGTCTCTACCTACAGGATTCTGAGTACTCTAG